GAGTAAAATCTATTAAAATTATATGTATTCATTATATTATTATAAACATTTTTATTTTTAGACTCAATGGTAATCTCTCTAATCTCATCTTTACTGGTTTAAATGATTTCACTTTAATTGAATTTGAATATAATACAACAACAAATCACTTCAGCTATGATGCTATTTTTACAAACATGCAGCTCCTTGGAGAATATTTTATAGACGCTTTGATTGAACTTGGTGCAATACCATTAAACTTGAAAGGAAGTGGAGTACTTAACTGGAACTTTTTGAATTTACGTGTAATTGGCAGCTTCGATTTGGTGTCCAGTCAAATAATACAAAATGGTGTTGGTATAGCAAACACAAAATATAATTTTTTGTTTGGTGATATAATTAATGAAAGCTGGAATGATTTATGGGATATACCTGTGAATAACTTCAATAACTATTGGTCTAGTGAAACTCTAAAAATGCTCTCTCAAGAGTTGCAGCCGCTTGTAAATAAATACTATGGTGATGTTGTTACACCCACTATGAATCGTTTGTTAGCCGGTTTCACTATGGAGGAATTATTAGCATTCTTAGTTAATGGTACTATGGAATTAAATGCTGTTAGCTGTACTTCAACCTAATAAATTTTTAAATTTTTATATTAATTTGTCTAATAACAATTGTAATAAAATTTAATAAAAATTGAATATGAAAGCTGTATAATCTTAGTCCTTATGATCCTTAAGTCCTTGTAATTGAAAATATATGATAAGTGTACACTTCCACAGAATTTAAAGTTGATTAATTATTAAGTGCAATGGAAGCACCATAATTTTATAGTAATAAATATTTTATAAGACTCTGCATATGCCAGATTACATCTATAGTATTAACAAGCAACTTTTCTAGTAATTAAGATTTGTGGCAAAAAAGTTAAGACCATATTTTTGCTCAAACTACCAGTATAGTTTATAAAAAACTCCATCTATAATATTGAAGCAACAATTATCAAACGACATTCAATAATGACATCCATTTTTAATGTAATTCATTCAATTCATTTTACTCATTGTTAAGTCAGATCTTCACCCAATTAAGCAGATTACAGATTGCGACTCACCTCACAGATGGTACTTACCTAACAGGGACTAGAATATTAACAAACTATTACATCGGATAATAATATATACCATATAAGACACTATGAGGTGAAAATATTATATAGGGGGCTCTTATTATTTATTTTATTTTTAAAGTAAATTTATAGGCAGCGTTATATGGTATATTTAAGGTATTAGATAATAAAGAAATGTTTTGAGTTTTTAATCAGTAACTGAACACGCATAGACTTTAATGGGATCGAACGTTCTTAATCTAGAAAACATTCAGAAGATTCAAATGGTTAATGGCGTAGCGGTAAGCGACGTGCAGTTCGTGGAGAAATGTATTAATAATCGCATCACAGACTGAGAAATGGAATAATTCATACTACAAATATCGTAAAAATTATCTTGAAATAATCTGATTATCGAAAAATATTGTAGAGTCTTAACTTCCCGTATTTATTTGAACTTATTCAAACAAATGCTAATTTGATTAAAGACCTTTATAAAAATAGATCATTAGATTTACTTTCAGTTAAGTATTAAAATAAATAAGGAACTCTATTCTGAAAAAAAATACAAGGTAACTGATCACTTCCACATTACATATTCACAGGTCTGCAGTTATCTTCTAAATGTATTTTATTTCGCTAATTCTATTATAGCGAAACAATTAACGAAAGCCATTTTTCGTGATATTGGAACAACTTTCTTTTTTTAGACTGCCGGTCTTACGAATAAATCCTTACTTAAATGAAAATAGATTTAATTTAATTATTTCCTATAAAATTTAAAATATTTAAAATTTCAAAACAAAACACCCATATCAATTATTTATATTTTTATTGAACTTGAACTTACACATAATTATTAAATAATTAAGAACATGTAAGAACACTACACACATATACCATAATCGACCTGTCACATTATAAACACAACATAAATGATTAATTAGATTAATTTTTAATAAATGAATTTAGTATAACAAAACTGTTTACTTATTTATTTTTGATAAAGCAATAACAGCTGTTTTGAAATATCATTTTATCGGCACCCGGTAATTGATATCTATTCATTTAGAAGTCTTAAGCCCTGATAATTGTGTATTGATATCTTTTACTGTTTTCGCAGCGTTTATGTACATGAGAACTACACATGTAAGTAATCCTGAAAATTTAAAAAAATTATCACAAGAAGCCCAAATCAATCCATTATATCGATTAGATATTTTAATGTTGGGGCAAGGGAAAGCACCGTGATTTTAGTTAATAAAACTTGATAAAAATTTTTAACTATTAAAAGTGCAGAAAATAGTATAAAAATGGAGAAAAATTCTACACTTTACTTCAGTTTCAATACTTAAGTGAAAGTTAGTTGAAGCAAAAAGAATTAGCAACCATGAAAGCAACAATTATTTTGGCACTAGTTGGCCTTTTAGGTATTTCAGCTAATGGTGCTAGTACGTACAAATTATACATAAAATATTGGTAATTATTAATTAATAAAAAATATTTTTTCTTAGCTTTGAACTCTGCACAAAGCCTCAATCCTTATGACTATTTGAACTTTGGAGATATTGCCAAGAAATATGTGACAGCTTTCCAACGTATTATGCCATGCGGTTATGCTGCTTGGGATTTACCAGCACTAGCTCCATACACAATGGATCATTATGCTTACAATTTAACCGGTGATGACTACAGGTAAGAGAAATAAAATGTTATATTTTAAGCGATCTTGCATATTAACTGCAAAAACATTTTTATTTTCAGCCTTGTTGGCTCCTTCGACAACCTTTATGTTGATGGTTTAAACAAGTGGACAATATTAGATTTTGGCTACAATGCAACAACTCAAGTATTCAATTTTGATGTGGTACATAACTATATTCAATTATTATCTGAATACAGTATTAATGCTACCGCTTATATTGCTGGTTTCCCACTCACCTATGCCGGTGAAGGTGTACTCAACTGGAAATATACTGATTTACGTACCATTGGCAGCTACACCTTCCAAAATAATAACAACAACAACCAAAATGGCTTAGAGATTGTTGATTTTGATATGCAAGTCTTACTTGGTGATGTCCAAACTAGCAACTGGAATAATTTCTGGGACAATCAAATAAACAACTTCGTCAACAAGTTCCAACGTGAATACGTGCTCTTATATGTTCAACAATCACAATCATACTTCGTCGATTTGTACAAGAACTATGTCTTGACTGCTCTTAATCGTCAAATTGCCGATCTTTCAATGACTGAATTATTGGAAGCTATGGTTGGTCTCACCATGGAATTGGATGAAGTTCAATGCCCACAAAATTAAATTCGTTTAAGTAAAAATTAATGTAATAGTAAATTAACAAATCCAATTAAATATTTATTTTTAAATCAATAAATGAAGTATTAAAATTTAAATATTTTATTTTACTTATTTATAAAATTCAAATATGACAGATTGCTGAGCAATTATGAATGTTACACGGTTTAATAGACCTCTGAGTCACTGTGCAAAATGCCTCAAGTTATTTATAATGATCTTGCGGTATCAGGTGTTTCCAGATTTTTATATAAGCCAGTCTTTATAACGACTATAGTGAAGAGAGAAGCTATTAAGAGAGAATCTATTCACGAAATTTATTGTTATGTTGCTCATATATTCCCTAACCTTACAATAGTCGGTACCCGCTCAAAATTCTTAATCTGTTCATGAATACGCTAACCCTGAATACAAATTTTTATCTTTCTAGATACCTTACCACTCGTTCTTACACTTCTCTACCTATACATCCGCTTCCTGTATCCCTACGATTTCTTCAGCTTACTCATTTCTCTGAATGGCATTGTTGTTCTTGCCTAGCTGATTTAACTTCTATAGTTAATTTCACAATTTTAACTAAATACTTATATTTGCACTTTAAACAAAAATCTGTATAAACCGAAGTCTCAAAACTTGGACAGTTAAATAATTAGAATTGAATTATATTCATGTATTTTTATCAGCAAATCAGCTCCAATTATCAATATTATCAAGTCTTGTATGTAGTATTAAGTATTAATTGAGGTATACTATAATAAAGTCGACATAAATCTTATAATCATAGGTTATCTATTGCCTGCGATATCAACTGTCAAAAGGTCATTTGGGGTTAGATTAGAAAATCAATCTTATTTTTACCTCTTAAATATGATTAAACCTACTGTAAAACTTTTATATGCCTTTAAAAAAAATTTCTAAAATCCTAAATAAGGATTGCCTCACATAGCACCTGCCACTATCTACCATTAGAGTAAAAAACAGTGTTCAAAAAATGAGATGATACGACAGCAATATATATAGTATTGTTTGGTTGGTATAAGGTCTACTATTAAGAGTGGAAATCAAGAAACTTTATTTTTAAAATTGGGAACAAATTCAATATCAGCAAGGATTATCCTATGAATATTACTAGATATTATTTAATCCTTTAACTCCTAGTAGGAGCATAGAGCCGCAACAAATATCTTCCACTCGGTACGATTAGTGGCCAATAGCTTCAACTCTCTCCAGCTTTACCGCATGTGTAACATTTCCATGTCAATTTGCCTTCTCCAGGTGTGAGCAAGTCTGCCCCTTCTTCTGCTACCCAACGCGTTCCACTCAATCGCTATTCTTATGGTGACATCAGTCGGTCTACACAAAGTGTGACCGAACCATTCCCATTTGCGTTTTTTAATTTCGGTTCTTATAAGTGTTTGTTCAGTTAAAGATCATAATCGTTCATTTGAAATTGTATTTGGCCAGAATATTTTAACAATTTTGCGTAATGACTGATTTACAAAAACTTGTAGTGCATTGTAGTATTCCAGGATTGACATTCATATAGCAGGCAAGATTTAATGTTGGAGTTCGTATTATAGTTCGGCGCGTTAGCTGAGATGATCTTTAGACTTTATTTTAGCGATCAAATGCTTATTTTGCCTTCTTGATACGGTTCTCAATGTCAGCACTGGATCCACCATTTGTTAATATGATGCTTTCAAGATAGCAGAATGTAGATGTAGAGTTTACATCCTCAAGACAGCAGTTGTTTATAATAAAAGGATCTTGGACGTTAGTATTAATGCGCATAGCTTTTGCTTCGGTAACATTGATTTTAAGTCCCGCTCTGTTTGCCGTAATTATCAAACGATTTAGGTTGCGAGACATGTCATTATATCTGTGTGCCAGCAGACATAAGTTGTCGGCGTAATCGAGATCACTCGAGCTATCTTGAATAACTCAAGTTATTCCGGCATCTTGGTCCAATGCCTCTGCCAAGACTACATCCAAGACGATGTTGAAATATTAGTAGTTTTATTTGATTTTAAATGTACCAAGGGATTGTTAAAACATTCTTGTGCTATATATATAAAATGTGAATTATACATTGATTTATTTTTAAAGTTTGTTATGTAAAAATAAGCATATAGGAAATTAGTAATAATCCAATGCAACAAAACACAAATATAAAAATTACCATTAATGAATCATAAATTTAAATTTCAATTACAGAAAAAAAAACCTCAAATCGATAAAAATTTGATACTAATTAATTCAAACTATTAATAACTATAAGTTTTTGAATTAAAAAATACTTTACGTTCTTATTAAAAAATAATTTCTCTGCAAAATATTTAAATTTATAAAGTCTTTTACTTAAACAAAAATTGTTTATATGACAAATTGGTAAACAATAACAAAAAATTGGCGCCATTAATATTGTATAATTATTTATGTTATTAATAATATAAAAAAAAATTAACAAATTTTAATCAAGAAGAAAATAATCGACAATGTGACTCACTTCAAGCAAAAATAATAGCCAAGAAAATTTATCCAAAAATATTATATATTGTAAATTAGATAAGATAATAATTACTACTTTTTATGAAAATAAGTTATACTTTTTTAATCGATCACTTATAAACAAATTAAATAAATTTTAAAAAGTATATAAAAAGAATGCCTACCATTAATTACTTTAGTTTCCAACTCGAACGAAAGCGCACTAATCGTTCTTTTAGCGGAAAAATGAAAGCAACAATTTTATTAGCTCTTTTAGGCGTTCTGGCTATTTCCGCCAACGTCAATGGCGCCGGTAAAAAAAAATTATTTTACTAATTAGTAAAAATAAATACTAAATATTAAATTTTTAGCGCTTGACTCAACACCAGATCTAAATCCATTTGACTATATCAATTATGCCGACATTTTAAAAGCCTATTTGAAGGCTTTCCAGCGTATTATGCCATGTGGTTACGCCGCTTGGAATCTACCACCACTTGCTCCATACACTGTCGATAATTGGGATTATGATTACAGTGGTGATGGTTACAGGTAAAACTAAATTTCTCTACACTTGTGAGTATATATAACAAATTATTTATTATTCTATTTAGCCTTGTTGGTTCTTTCTCCAATTTGTATGTTGAAGGTCTGAATGATTGGCAATTGCTTGACTTCTCATACAATACCACCACTCAAGAATTTAATTACGATGTTTTACATCGCAAATTGCAAATTCTTTCTGAATACACTGTAAATGCTACAGCCACCATTGCTAATATGCCATTTACCTATGCCGGTGAGGGTGTTCTGAACTGGAAATTTACTGATGTCCGTTCAATTGGTGGTTACACCTTCCAAACTAATGGGATCAACCAAAATGGTATAGAAATGACTAATTTCAGAAACCAGGTTATACTTGGGGATGTTCAAGCTAATAACTGGAATAACTATTGGAATAATGAAGTGAATAACTTTGTCAATCGTTGGTTGCGCAAATATGTGTTCTTATGGACCGAAGAAGCACAAGCTAATATGGGTAATATAATTAATAACTATTTACTTCCAGCTGTAAATCGTCAATTGGCTGATCTCAGTATGGACCAATTTCTTGAAATTTTGGTTGGTCTTACCATGGAGTTAGATCAAGTTAAATGTTAAGTGGATAATATGCATCAAAAAAAAAAAGACTATAGAAAAATGTTTAAAGAAATTTAAATAAATTAAAACATTCTGTAAATTATTGTAAATAAATATATTGTTATTAAAACTAATTTGTGATATATACTTATGGACTTGAGTCTGAAACACATAATAAATAATATTTTGAGGTCTAATAACCTTCATATATTATTATTAGATATATCCCATCAGGAGCACAGAATGTCCAACTATTTCTATCCCCAGCAATAAAACGTAATTGATTTAAAGATTTGCCGGTTTCATTTATTATCGTTCTTCTCCAGATCTTCCTCTGTGTGTGTTGCCTTGAGTTTCCATGGAAGATTTGCGTTACATATTTCTTCGTACGGTTTTCGCAAAGTGTGGCAAAGGCAATTATATTTCCGACGCTTGACTTCTTTGTTGATAAATTCTTGATTTGTTCGTTGAAGTAGTTCCATATTTGATATTCTACGTGACATTATTCTACAGACATTATAAAATGGATTTTTGTCTGAACCTACATATAAGTTCATATATAAACTTTCATATAGGTATTTTAATAAAATAAGGTTGGCTTGTATTTAAAGGTAAGTGACATCTTACTTTAAGGAAATTTAAAAAAGAAAATTCAAAAAAGTATTAATATATGTACTTAAAATATAAAACAAGAATTACCTTTTAACATAAAAACTTGTATAACATGCATTAAGATTAACGAGATACTTTTAGCACAGAAAAGAAGGATTATGAAACGCTTAAATTTCTGGAATGGCTCAGTTCAGTGATGCGATACTCTGAACCACATGTTCAGTTCACGTTCTCCGCCTACACGTATAGGCTTAGATTTTTAAACTGCAGCAAATTCAAATTTTTTCGTATCACTGTTCAGTTCAAGTAACATACCATAAATAATCATTTTTCGGTTAAATAATAAAAAAAAATTGGGTTTCGTTATTCTTTTATCTCTGAGTTTCTGGAACTACTTTAACAAGTTCTAAAATGAGTGTGCACATTTTATGCATGGATTTCTATATACAACCTGAAAAAGTTGCAGTTAACCCAGCAGTACTTACGCCATTCTCTGCTCACAAGTTCCCAAGATCTTAACTCATTATACACAGTCCGAGTTACCCCAATATTATGTATTTTATGCAGTATCGTTATATTTGCTTGTAAGACTAAAATTATTATTAACTTATCCGATTAGACAAATGACTTTTTCACTATCTTGACTTTTTTAATGAACATTAATTTCGGATAGATATATAAATATAAGTAATTAATAAAGGCTACTCATAGTAAAATCTTTACAGAAAAATTTTCAAAAAATTGCGTTAATTGATAGATTAATTCACAGGTGTCTAAATGTCACTTCACAAAAACAATACCTGCTAAACGATTCTGTATTTCGGTGTATTATCAAGTATAATCTATTAACATTAACTAACATCATATCAACGCAAGTTGAATTCAAGAAGAATATATAATATCATATTTAATATATACTGAATACATTTTATATGGCATATGACATGGTTTGGTTTAGCTAATTCCAAATGCATATTTTCTGACCTCTAGATATATAGTATAATTTTAAAGATATCTTATTATAGAGTTAGGTGTGTAATAGATCTTAATGCATTAGATCAATAAAAATTTATTTATAACCAAATCGAGGTCAAAAAATTTATATAAATTTTAACAAAATATTAATAAAAATAACATAATTATTTAAAATGATTAACTTTGAAAAAAAATGTATTGTGATATATATAATATTTATTATATTCTCTAGACGGCAGAAAGGAATGCACAAAATAGTAATATTGTTGATATGTATACTTCAAAATTAAGACATATAACATTTTTTTAACAAATTAAAGACCCAAAACTTTAAAAATACTTAAAATTTAATATTAATTTATCCTGCACTAGATAAGATTATTACGTGAATATTAAATGACAAGTTAGCCAATTTGCTTGCTTACCAACATAGGATATATAAAAAGGTAATTATATATAATATATAAATTTGATAAAATATATTTATTTCTAAAAAAACTCAAAAAAGTATAAAAAAGACCTCATACAACTCATTATGTTTAGTCTTCAAAAGAAAACCAAAGTTATTGAAGTAAAAAATGAAGGCAGCAATTATATTCGCAATTATTGGCATTTTTGCTGTGTCAGCAAATGGCTCAAGTAATAAAAAAAAATTTTGTTATCATTAATAAATAAAAAAATAAATTCTTAAATTTTATTAGCGCTTAATTCCTCGCCAGATCTTAATCCATTTGATTATTTAAATTTTGGTGATATATTTCATAAGTACATGCAAGCCTTTAAGCGTATAATGCCCTGCGGATATGCCCCCTGGAATGTACCGATTTTAGCTCCATATACCGTTGATCATTGGGATTTTGATTACAGTGGTGATGATTACAGGTATAATATATATTCAAATTGTATGTATATAATATACATTATTGATTTTTTCATTTAGTCTTGTTGGATCTCTCTCAAATCTCTATGTTGAAGGCATAAATGATTGGCAAACACTTCAAACTTCTTATAACACAACCACTCAACAATATAAGTACGATGTTTTTCATAGTAATCTTCAAATTCTTGCAGAATATAAAATCAATGCTACAGTAACTATTGCTAATATGCCTTTTACGTATGTCGGAGAAGGTGTCCTCAACTGGAAGTTCACTGATTCACGTGCAATCGCTGGTTTCACTTTCCAATCTATTAATGATAATCAAGTTGGCTTAGAAATTACCGATTTTAAAATGCAAGTATTGCTGGGGGATGTGCAAGCCAATAACTGGAATAATTATTGGAATAATGAAGTGAATAACTTTGTCAACCGTTGGTTACGTAAATACGTACTTTTATGGACTGAAGAAGCACAATCTTATATTCCAACTGCCTTTGCAAAATATGTGCTTCCAAGTTTAAATCCTGCTCTTGCTGAACTTAGTATGACCGAACTTCTCGAAATATTAGTTGGTCTTACTATGGAATTAGATGAAGTTAAATGTTAAATTTTAGATATTTAATAAATATTTAAATGAATATAGAAGTTTAATTTTTTTTATTTATTATATTGTGCAGATGTCAACATAACTAATAATATAAGGTTACCCATTTCCAAATCGTGACTGTTTCACCGATATTAATGAAACATCAACATCTCGCGACTTGTTCACACTGTACGTTTTTTTTTAGATTTACGCTAATGAGAATGTCTAAGCAAAAGTACGTAAACTCTAGACTCTAGTATACGCCAAGAAACTCTAAATGAATATACATCAAGTTATTCTCGAGATATTGTCAGCGATATTCCGACATGCTATCGGAAATTTGTTCTGAGGAATGCAATACTTTAAGACGTTCCATTGAGAAAACTTGATTGAAATCTATGTTACTCTCGGATATATTTTCTTTGAAATATTTTTAAATTAAGGCAAACGTTCTAATTAAAGTTGTACTGGCTGCAACTACTTTATCTACGATTTATTTGTCAGTCTCTTATATAAAAATGATCGAGAGGCTTTATGAAACTAATGATTTATTATTATTACTCCATTATTCTCTAAGAAATAATGTAAGCCTACAAACTCACGGTTATGCATATTTTCACACACAAAGTTCACAGATACATATTTCACTACCCAAACTGACTTCTATAATTATCGCATGTTTCTTTACTGGTAAATCTTTACTGACACTTAAGAAATCAATCTTTAAAATTTAATAATGTAATTTTTATTATTTTAAAGAAATTCATAACTAAAATTGCTACCAAAATAGAATTAAAAGAAAAACTATTATTATTTTCTGAAATACTTCTCTCCCTCTCTTTTTTTACTTTTCTTTCTCTTCATGGAACTGGAGTATAAGAACTCCACATCTTCTTATTTTGATATAATTTCACAAGTATATTACTGGAATATAAGAACTCCACATCTTCTTATTTTGAAATAATTTCGCAAGTATATTACTTCAGTAATATAGTCCATGTGGGTATAGTCCTTGTGGGTATCCCTTAAACTACAGGCTGACAAAATGCAATAGGCCGTGATGGACTGGGTGCGCTTTCTAAAATGTCGATGTAGTGAGATATTGCACTTGATCTAGATAGAGTGATCGTTTTTTTATCACTTTTTTATTTAAAAATATAGAAGATAACTTTGTTTGATTATTTACCTATAAATCTTCTTCAAAATAAATTGAAGTCTACGAGCTAGACAATGACAACACCCTTGAGCATTTTGTCCAAGCGACTATCATGCAATGTTTTCAATAAATCAATGAAGTATATGTATGTCGGATCCAATGCCATTTGCATCTGTATATATCTTTAGGAATCAGTACTTCTTAGTTCAGTTTGTAGATTTTATTTGTGGATATGAAAATCAAGTCAATGGGAGGGGTTTTAAAAATGTTTCCCTCAAAATTTTCCATTTAAGTTAAATACGTTTTATTAAAGAAATCTTCCATGCGATATTTAAATATGATATTAAATAGTATTATATTAAAATAATATTAAATGTTTATATATGTATACTGACAACTTTTTTACTATTTTTAATAAAAAAGGTAATAATAAAAAACAACTGATTTGGTTATAATTGATCCTGCTTTTGATAATAACATTTCTTGATGATAAATGAATATATTCATTAATTAGATTAGATATTTTTGACTTTTCCAAACAATAACAAACAAAAATGGTAATTAATTGTAAATACAAAAAAATATAAAAGACAGCCGGCATGATATCAAGTTTTTAGTGTTCAAAAGTCTACAAAACAAATTGGACGGAAAAATGAAGGCTACGGTTTTACTAGCTATTTTTGCCCTTTTGGCCATATCAGCAAATGGCGCATGTAAATTAAATAATATTATGCAATTACTTACATAAAATAAATAAAATTGTATACTTCAGCAACTAATTCATCTCCTAGTCTCAATCCTTTCGATTACTTGAATGTAGCTGATATTGCCAAGAAATACATAGCAGCCTTCAAGAGAATAA